GTCTGCACTTCTGAAAATTACATTCTCTTTCTGTGGTTTCTACATCATTGACCAATATATCAAATTTTGACCAAAATGTACATAGACAAATATTTCTACAAAGTGATATGTAGTATCTGATTAGTGACAAAATATCTTCCAACTGTCCTCTGCTCTTTCCAAATATCATATGTGTATTTAGGGAGCAGGTTAAATAAACAGAATTTTAATTTGTGCAATCCTTCATACCCTCAATTAATTATAACACTTAAGATAAAGAGAGTATTTATCTTTTCCCAGCTAAGGAAATACCCTACCTCTGAAGCAAAACAATACCACGATTTCCCAGTAATTACATCAGACAATGGTTTGAAGCACAAAGAATATTCTTGTGTGGTATCTTTATTCCAAGAGTAAGTTACTCACCTCATCATCCATTTGTTTTTTCAGGAGCAGGGTGAACAAAATATTAAAAATTCAGCTCCTCAATGGGGAGAAAATAGCTGACCAACAGCCGCAGCAAGTTATGCAGGCAGTGGTCTCCAGCAGGAGCTGAGGCTGCTTCAACCCAGGGTCCCACTGGCCACTTGGCTGCTAAGCCTGGGGGTGGCAGGTGGAATGACTTCACTGGGGTGCATCCTGATTCTGGAGTTCGGTGAGGCATAGACAATGGCCAGTGATCCTTGTTTCAAAAACAAAACTAAACAAACCTAGTTGCTAACCTTAGCACGCTTATATTTAGTATAGTTTTAAAAGGAAATTATAGTCAAATCACTGTGTTGTACATCTGAAACCAGTAAGTTATATATCTAAATAAATAAGTAAAAGGGAAATTATACATACACATGTATATACAAGAAGTCAAATATATATATTATATATACATATATAATATATAGTTTCTTTACTTTTCCCTTTTTTGCAAAACTGTGGTTAAAATTGTGTATCAGGATTCTTTAGTTATAAGCAACAAAAATGGATTCTGGCTGAGGTGAAGGGTATCTAGGAAGGGGAGAGATTAGATGCTGGAAGGATAACTCACAGACTTGAAGGAAGAATTAAACTACCAGGCTTTGGAAGGACAGGTCTCAGGCACATGTGTGGGGTGTAGTTTCTGGTTCCAACTTATTTGCAGCCCCTATTTCTACTCAGCATTTCAATCCCAAGGAGAGACCATCTGATCGGCTGGGGATGGATCCAGTGCCCACCTGCCTGGTGGGAGCAGGGAAGGCATCCATGATGGACAGCCCCATGCACGTGAGATGAGATGGGGCAGCAGAGGGGCAGGTCCCCAGAGAAAGAATGCTGGGCACATGACAAACTCTAGATGCTCACTCTTGGGGACACATGCAGTGCTTGTGAGGAGCGGGTGGCCGGCCAGAGCCTGGAGGAAACCTGCAAACAGCATCACAGCTGCCAGCTCTTTGTAACTGAACATCCAGGACCTGGAACAAACAGCCTCGCACTTTATGGTGACCCAGGGGCCCCGGAGAGACTGTGACAATCTTAGCTTCTATCCTCTGGGGAGGAAGTTTGGTCCAGTGATTGTTGAGGTTGGACAGCTGGAGGTCATGGCTTTGCTTCCGGCCGCATGGGAGTTGGGGCGACTGCAGATGGGGTACAGGGCGTGGGTAACTGCAGGATGGGGCATGCGGTGGGGGTATGGAAGGGGTAAAGACAAGCCCAGTCTTCTTTCTTCGTCATGAGTGGCTGAGACCACACACCTACTTGGCATAGGCCTGCCTCATCCAGCCTGACAGGCACCAAGGGAGGCAGAGGGTGTGAGTCACCTGGAGCCCCCACGACATCTACCTTAGAATTCAGAGATGCTGGAAAACTGTGCTGTCTGGTAGAGAGGCCAGGTGCCACCCGCAACCTGGACAGTCTGGACTGAGACATGCTATGCAATGCACACAGGTTCTGAGGGCTTACTAGGCAAAGGAACATATACTGTCTATTAATAATTTCCAATATTTATTACATGTTGAAAAGGTATCTTGGACATATTGAGTTTAAGAAAACATGACAATGGATTTTACATGATTCTTCTTTTAAGGTGGCTACTAGAAAATTTTAAATCACATGTGTATGCTTGACATTACATTCCTCTGAGAGTCCTACCTTTGAGTACTCTAGCTTGGCTTAGTGCTACAGGTCGGTGTTACTCTGTCTCTGTAGACTCCTTAACACACATCAGTGTCTTGCACAGAACAAATGCAAGAAATTTTGTTGGGCAAATTAATAAATTATCAAATTTATTCAAAGCAGTGTTCATGCTGCATGTAGAGTTCTTCACTGGAGAGATGTAAGAGTTAATGTCATTCATTTCTAGCCTTGATGGACTTTCTGGAACACATACCAGGTTGCAGGTGCTGGAGGAGACACAAGGTGACTAAGTCTCTCTCTGTCTTGAGGAAGCTTGTTGTCTGATAAGGAAGATACATTATTATTTGCCAAGCAAATCAGGCTTATGAAGCAGTGTGGCCAGTGCTGGGACAGGGGTGAGAACAAATGACTGCGGGGCAGAGCCACACAGCCCAGGCCTTCTAGGCTGTGGCTTCCCACCAAGACCCACCGTCTTTCCCTCCAAAGAGGTGAGCTTTGCCTCCCAGCCCTGGAAGAGGGCATCTTGCCTCTCTCGGATGCAAAGTGCAATGTGGCTGAAGTGAGGCATTAAGGCCCGGTTCTTGGAGACTGGCCCCGTGAGGCCCAGGAGCCCAGGTCATCACCTGCTGGGAAGGCCACAGTGAGCCCCTGCTGTACCTGCTCCACAGAGACCTCGCTGAAAGCCGTCCTGCAGCCAGGACATCACGCCCCCTGAATTTGTTCAAAAGTGGGTTAGTCCCAAATGATTTGTTAAGATGGGTTTTACTGCCATCACTTTCTCCTGCCTATGTGGCTCCTATGCTTTATTAACGCCACGTCCCATCTCTGTTCCCCTGGGCCTCCCCTCGCTGACCCCAAGCCCACCGCATGAATCTGTGGGGCTGCAAGCTGCACTTGCCCTTCAGCCTGGAACACATAGCAGGGGCCGCGTGAGCCTGGAGTGCGGGCCACCAGTCCCCACAGGGATTCCCCGTGCAGCCTTCCCTTCCTGTGGGGTCAGCTGCAGCTCTGCCCGTCCTCTGTCGGTTCCTCCACACACAGACATTGTTTAGCTTAATGGCAGTTACCAGCCCCTTTTATGGCATGTCCACCATGTAGACACCAGAGAGATCTTTCTATGCAAATCGGGCACCATTACCGCCTTGCTTAAAATCTTGCCTGACTGCTTATCTCCCATGAGAGACCTAGGCCGGAACTGGCCTTTATGCCCAGCGTCCACTTCCGCAGATGGAGGGCTTCTCTCAGCACACTGTGCCCTCGCTGACTACTCTGCCTGAGCGTTCCCCTCACCTTGTCTGGTGACCTCTTACCCACCGACCCAGGTTGCATTCCAAGCACTTCGTCTAAGGGGCCTTCCTTGGCCTGCTTAGTCCCAGTGGTAATGCCCAATCCTTTGTGAAAAATCATACTCCTAGACATATAACACCATAATGATACTACTTACATTTCTTTTCTCCATTAAATAGTAAACTCTTTGGGGAAGAGATTGTGTCTTAGACTCCACGATTTAGCCCTGTACCTGGTTGGAGCTGCATAGGAGGGTCTCAATACCAAAAAAAATGATCTTGCTGGATCTGTGAAGCGGTGACTTTGGTGGACACTTGAGGTGAGCCCCTGGGTTCCGGGACCGAGGCTCAGAGGCGCCTGGGGGCCAGCGTCTGCCTCCGCCTTTTCACGCTCCGCTCGGTCTTTGCTGTCTCCTCCCACCTTCTCTGAGCTCTGGCCTAATGGTTCATCCTTTCTCTGAAATCTCTGCACATTTCCTGATAAATGCACACACACTAAGGTGTAGGAACTAAGATGTAAGGCGTAAGATTGTATTTGCATTTAAATAATAAGCATGATTTTTCAAATTTAGCATTTCATTGGATTCTTGTCAAACTCTCTAGGAGATAGAAAATAAGCCTCCCCTTTCTCTTGAGACAACAGCCACGAGGGAGGAGGGCTCTTGGCTCAGAATTTACTGGAGTCTTATAAGAGCCATAGGCTCTAAGCTTTCATTTGTGCAATGAAAGGAACATATGTGGGATGTGTGGCCTGGCAAAGGGCCTCTGTCTTGTTACCAGGTGGTTGGAAGGGGAAGGGCTGAGGAGGTGTGGTGGGGGCGGGGGTGGAGGAAAAGAGCTAAGCCTTGCTTGGCTTGACAATGGAAGCCCACTGGCTTCACCCAAACTGCCTCTGGGAAGGGCTTGTCCTCAATGACGTCAGTGCGTGTTTGGTGCAGCAGCCCTCTGTTGGAAAGTGGAGAGAAGGTGTCTGTACTCCCACTGAGAGAGAGATCAGAACAGGCCCCACCACCTTGGCCCTTGCTGCAAGATTTAGGGCTTAAAGTAAGACCCCCCATCCCTCAGTGGGACTTGCAAGTTGAACCCCTGGCCGTCCAGAACACATGGCAGGACCCATACTCTGGAGGAACAGGTCAGCCTTTCCTCAGGGCAGAGGCTGAGGAGAGAAGGGTATGCGCAGGAGGGCTCGCTGCGGGAGAGCTGACTTCCCAGGCATGGCCTCCTCTTCTTTCGCTCCTACAACACAATCCCCGTTAACCACTCAAGCCTTCCAGGAAGATATCCTGATGCCCACATTCAGCCACATGCAGAGAACGAGGGGACCAGGGCCGATGGGAAGCAAGCCCGTCTGCTGGCTCTACAGTTGTGGGGAAGACTGTCCGCGGGCCCCACATGATGTGGCAGTGAGACGGGGACAAAGGGAGGAGCTGGGCATTGGGCAGTGGCCAGGTCGTAACTCAGGAGGGTCTGGGAGAAAATCTGTTAGCCCTTTAGATGGGAGAGCGGTCTACTGCAAACTGTGACTCACAGCTCAGTGGCTGGTCGTGAAAGCTATAGAGTGGGTCTCAACCGGCGTTTTTTTAGAAAATGAAATAAAATGGAATGCAGTGCTCCAGGAAGAGTGAGTATTGTTTTATAAAACCCTTATTCAGTTGTACATGTGTGCATGCTGGATTCATGTTGTGAAATATATTTCTTACAGTGAGTTGAGATTAACCGTGTTCGAAAGCCACGATGCTAAAGGAAGCTGACCTTGAAGAGGGGTGGGCATAGAGGCAGGTTCCTGGGTCACCTGTTCCAGGTAGACGGAAGGCAGTGTGAGCTCCAGTTTAGAGATGAGAAGCTGAGGAGGTCATGAGGAAAGCTGTCGTCCCTGGGGACTTGCTCCGCGCCAAGCCCTTGGCCAAGCACTGTCCCACGTTATTTCATCTGCCTCTCAGGCAGCCCGGGGCAGCCAGGGTGGTGCCCGTGGTCGGAGCAGACGAGCCTGGGCGACTTGCCCAATGCCTCATAGGTCTCAGGCTTCCTGGAGAATCTGGCTTCCTGACACAGTGCTCTTTGCTGCTCATGGGAAAGCTTTTAAAAAAGGGTATTGGGAAAATGACATTCTGAGTACAGGTGAATGACTCTCTCCTGGTTCCATTTTAGGCATCAGTGGAGGCAAGCAGAAAGCCTAGGGCCTCCCATCACACTTCAAAGGCGACGGCAAATCCTTAGAAGTAAAGCTCGCACTGCATGGCTGATTTGGGCTGAAGAGAAGTCCTGGGCTCTGTCAGGCTGAGCGGAGAGAACTGGGAACATGAACACTGACAACAGGGGTTTCCCTGCAGACGCCCTAGACACAGGGGACGAGGGAGAGCCTTGAAAGGGCGTCCTCACCTGAGAGAGGGCCCTGGGAAGCAAGTACGTGATGACATACACGTGACAGTGAAAGCGGGCGCATGCGCGTGCACGCACACACAGAAACGAGCGTGGGAAAGAGCTGCAGTGCACACAAGCCGGAGTTAGGATGAGGGCATGCTGGGAGCACTGAGGCAGGGAGGCACAGCATTTGCACACTGACATTTCATCCACTTGTAGTTAGTGAGTGCCAGTTCAGTTTTTCCTTCTCTAGTCTTTAGGGTAAGACTAAGCAACTCTGGGAAAACTACCGGTTTAGTGATAGCAGCAAAGAGGGTCATTCAGTGAGTTTATTTATCTGGGTAGTTCTGTGATTTATGGGATATTAAGGAAGCAGGGTCTCCCAGTAATGTTAGGAGCCTGGGAGTGTTGACTTGCAGTTTTCTCGACCAGCAATGTCCTTGACGTGCAGCATGACCTTAAGACCTTCATCCTGTCTCATACCCTCATTTCCTGCTTCTGCCCTGTCAGCTCCATTGTTGACCCTCCCTTGCCAGCTGGGGTGCTCACTGCTTCCTGCACACACTGTGCCCAGGGGTTCCAGTCACACACACTGGTCCTCCCCTCACACATGCACTTGGCATGGCCCCTCTGCCTCCCAAGGAGAAGGAAAGCAGAGATATTTGCCCATCATAACACACAGGCAGGGGACTTTGGTGCTCTTCATTTTATCTTATTGCTTTGAGCGCCTGCTGCTGTCAGCCTCATGTCCTCCTTTTTCCACATTGGACTGTAGCTCTACAGAAGCTGGGGCAAATTTATTTTCCTTCCCAGACCCAAAACCCATACGATGTCCTGTGCAATAAATATCAGTTGGGTTATTATTGAAATTTACTGCCATGTTGTAAAGTAGTGACCACAGTTGCCTCCCGGACAGTTTCCAATCACTAGAGGGAAAAGTCATCTCAAAGTCAATCATTAACTTACAAAACAATTCCCCTGAAAGAATCTGTAAATACTTTCCCTTTCCTGGCTTTCTGTATCATGTGAATAAACTTTGCTGTAATTTACATATACCCATGAATAGAATCAATCAGAAAGTTCAGGGCAACCACAGCTCTTCAACCTGATGTTGTGATTTTGTTTTCAAAACAAACATACCTTTTTTTTTTTATTAAAGTAACTAGTATTGGGTTGGATCAAAGTCAGCAGAAGTTTTCCTAGAAAACAAACATGGTTTCAGGAAATATTTATTACATATTCTGTTCTTTAGTAATAATAACTGCTACTTATTGAACACAAACCGTGTGCTGTGCATTTCACACTTACTGGCTCATTGATTCCTCTCAATAATCCCGGGAGGTAGGGTGATATGTTTGGATCCCATACGAATTCTTATCAAAGGCCTCGACTTCACAAAGGCCTTTCATCAGGTGGGAGAGATGAGCAGCTCTGTGGATAGGAGGGAGCTTCTTTCTCCATCACCCCAGGGCATGTTCATTGGGCTCAGGAGCAAATGATCCTGAGGGCAAAATGGAGATCAAGTCAGACTCAAGAACATGAACCTCCTCTGACCAAGGATGACCTGCCCCCAGCACCGCCGTGAGTCTAGTTCACAGGATACTGACTCCCTGATATGGTTCTCTTCACTGGGAGACCAGCCAGCTCCCTGGTGACAGCGTTATTATTTGGAACCCTTCCGTCATCAAAAGGGTGCCTCTGTTTTCCTTGTTGGGATAGATGCCTACCCTGGGATTTGTATTTGCTTTCCTTGATTCTGCTAACATGAAAACTGTGAAGTTAACGAGTGCCTTAAACATCCCCAAGTTGTCCACAAACATTGTTTTACAGTGAAAGAAACAGCAGCACACTGCTGTCAACATTAAGTTTCAAGAGTGTTATGTACCGTGTCACCTGGAAGTCTCAGAACATGGTGTGACGCAGACTACCCAAGACAGAGCACTTTGAGTGACTGGTGTGAGACACTGCAGGAGGTGCTCTGAACCTGTGGCCGACACACAGTTTGGTCCCTCTCGCTGCCAAAGTGTGTAGAGCTCGGAACCACGAGATGGAAGTGGGAAAAATTATAGCCTGTGACCCATTCACAATTTTCTTTGCTTCCTATTCCCATGAACCTGTTCTTTGCTGGTTTAGAGGTTTAGTGCCCATAGGAGGAGAACTTCCTCTAGAAGATAACAGTGAAACGGAAGCCGATACAGCTGCCTGGTATTTTGCCTCCTCGTGTCATCAGACAAATGGGAAGAAGGGGCAGCTGGCATGTTGGCTGGGTGACTGACCCTTTCTTCCTTCATGGGAAGCAATGTAGATACAGAGGAGTGTACGCACTTGAATCTCTGGAAATTCCTTGCAGGAAGAGGAACCCAGCTTCCCTCCTGTAAGTGTAAGTATGGGAAAAGGACTGCATGTGGACTTGGGCTATAAGAAGGCTAAGTTACAGAGGGTTTGGGTCACCGCTTTTCTTGCCCACTCCCAAGCCTCTGCCCTGCTGTGAGTGCTTCCCAGTGAGAGAGTCCTGGAGGGAGGGAGGATCCTGTCTCCCACTATGGAAGGCCGCACCAGCGCTCCCTCTTCCCACAGGGGACATAATCTGGTTTAGCCTAGATCTTTGAATGGGGTAGGGGCACAGGGACGCAGAGCTGGTTCACAGAAATGGAGGCAAGTGTACTCCATAGGCAGTGCCTACATTTATCAGCCAGACAGGTCCTGAGGCGGGTCCTGCTCTGTGTCCTCAGGTCCACGGCTGGTCCACAGACAGACTTGGGTTCTGCCCATTTCCCAAGCTTGGCTCTCCAGTTTTCTTGGAGGTCACCTTCTGGCCACTTCTCTCTGTGCTTGCGTTATCTGTAGCTAGTTCTATTGTTTTTAGCTCACAGCTCTGATGGACCGAGAGGGGAAGCAAACCCAAATAGGAACCCACCTTTTGTACTGTGATTCAGGCCCCAGGTTCTTTTTCCTTCCCTCCTAAGCACCTCCTAGATATTTTCTGACTTCAGTTTTGTACTGATAGGTGCCAGAATAAATCCTGTAAAAATAAGAGCAGGGAAGAAGCAAACTTTAAGACATGATAAGGAAAGATGATAAGCATCTTTTAAGATAAAGACAAAAAACATGAGAAGGACATGATAAACATCAGAAGGAGCAGTCTAAGGAGATGGTCTTGGGATGCTGGCCCACCACCTTCACGGGCTGCCAGCTTCCTGAGTCAAGCAGCCTTTCCTTTTCACCAACACTTGTCTCTCAGGTTTTGGCCTTGCAAGCAGCAAGCAGCCAAACTTGGGTTTGGAACTGGGTCATGGCCCAGTAATACTAGTCCATCTTAGCCAGAAGAGGGACATAACAATAATTAAGTTTTTTGAAAAATCAGAGTAAATGGTAGAAGTCTAGAAACCACAGTCAAATACAAATAGGCCACCTACTTACATCCTAGATATGAGATATGTAGGGTGTGAGAGAAAGAATTTCACTTGGGAGGACTTTAGTGCTAAGCTGGGTTCCACTGCATGCAAGGAATTTCCAAAGACTCAGGTTTTGCCTGGAATGCCAAAGAAAGAGTGAAGGAGAGGAGAGGCTAGGCAGATAGCATTGTATTAGATTAATTTCTAAAGATGCTCAAATTCCAGGTGGGGATAACCACTGGCCTTATATTTTAGGAAGAAACTGAAGTAGAAAGAGCATGAGTGATGCTGGGACTTATTTTCATCACCTATTTAAAAAGGACATAATCTCAAATATACCCTTAAATAAGCATATCAGTAAATGTAGAGTAACCATTCTCTTCTCTCTCAAATTAAGAGAACTCTTAGTTTAGGCTCGGCCAGTGAGTGCATCTGGTTGACTACAATTCCCAGTCTTCTTTGAGATTAGGTGCCACCATATGCCAAATTCTGACCAATGTAACAGAATTATAGACACCACACAAAAAATCAGAATGCATCTTGCAGGAAATGCTAAACACAAATGAATTTGGTTGACATACACCAGTGTGCATTCCAGAACATAAAAAACTAATAAGCTAGTTGATTTGACTAAGGTGCCCATCTTGTTCTCCTAGCCCATTCAAGGATATGGTCAGAAATCAGATTAGGATTCCTTAGAACCATGGCCATAATGAGCTATTGACTAATGGGATTATGCTCTTGAGGTACATTAGAGAAGGTACACATTTTGAAATTCATTCTTACAAATTTCATTCATAGACAAAAGCACAAATCTAGAAAATAAGATTCAATAATTCATTAAATAAGCTACAAGGGACAAGTGAAATTTATTTAGCAATATGAAGATAATTTATATTGGAAAATAAAGTCAATTTAGACTGATAAATAAATTTTTTAAAGCTGATAAAAAAAAGAAACAATCTAACACGTCTAATTATACCCTGCACTAAAACTGAGCTGTCTAAAATACCCCAAGACAATAGCAGAAACAGCAGAGAGAAAAGCAAGATCTTACAGGCTAAGAACTGAGTTTATTTTACCTTAGCGGAAAATAGAGCCAGACTTTAGTTTCCAGTTCCACGTGGAAGGAGCCTGGGAATTGGCACTTGTCTTAACAAGTAAAGAGGTGAACAGACTGAAAAATCAACAATTCTTCTTGCATCTGTAACAAAGGGGAGGACACAGGGCAAACCTCTGACCCCAAGATTTGAGAGCCAGATGGGAGAACATGGGAGTCACAGCTTCCCAGAGGAGAGACTGAGAGCAGAAACCACCATGGGGACCAGCTCCTGGGTGGGAAAACCTCAACTGTAATTGATCAATTGCTGGAGGTGTTGTGTGGACCAGGCTGAGGCCCAGTCATACGGGATCCCCAATGATAGGATGAGATTTACCTGCAGGAGTTCAATTAGCTGCTCACAATAAATACCAGAGAAAAGTCCCCTTGCGCTGCTGGCACCGTGAGGGAAAAGGGACCCTTCTGAAATGGCTAGAGCACTCTGTTCTTAAGAAGGCCTGCCTCCCAGGGAAGCTTGTTAACCAGAGCCTAATCGACCTCAGGGTAGGGAATTCCTCCACCCCAGCCCTCTAGCCACCCTGTCCCTCCTGGGGGAGGAGAACCCTGAGAAGCTCTGGCAACGCTCACAGTGCAGAGGCTCAGGCTCAGTGAAGGCTGACCTGACTGGGTCACAGGACTAGGACCGCTTCCCTTGCCCCCGCACAGCCACACCTCACCCACATCCCTAACAGCCTATGCATAGCAGTGCCTTCTGCCCAGTAAGTACATCATGTCCAGTATCAAGAAAAACAGGACAAGACTCACCATAAGGCAAAAACACAGTCTGGAGAGATGGAGCAAGCATCAGAAGCAGACATGGCAGGGACGTTGGCATGACCAGACCAGGAAATTAAAACAACTGTGAATAACATGCTAAGACTCTAATGCGGCAAGCAGATGCGCACAAGATCAGGTAATGTAAGCAGAGACGGAGACCTGAGAAAGAGCCAGGAGGACATGCCGGAGACGAAATAGGGCAGTGGGAACGGAGAGCGCCTTCAAAGGGCTTGTTCATAGACTAGACACAGCTGAGAGAGCCTCTGAGAGGGAGAATGTCTTGGCAGAATCCCTGAAAACCAAAAAGAAAACAGAGGCCGAAGATGATGGCAGATTTCCAAGGACTGTGGAACAACAAGAAATGTAATAGACCCATAATGGGAACACCAGAGGGGAAGCAGGAGAGAAAGGAATGGGGACAAATACCTGAAACAGTAGTGGCTGAAAGCTCCCCCGAGTTACTGTCGGACACCAAATCACAGACGCAGGAAACCCAGGGAACACCAAGCACGATGAATGCCAAAAACACTAGACTCAGGTATATGATTTTCAAGTCACAGAAAATCAAAGATAACAAAAAAATCCTGAACGAGGCCAGAGGAAAAAAATATCTTATGGAGGAACGAAGATAAGAATTCTGACTTCTTAGAAGCCACATAGGCAAGAGAGGAGTGAAATATTTAAATGTTGAGGGAAAAAGCTGCTGACCTAGAATTCTGAACTCAGAGAAACGGGACCGAATTTTTGTTTAAAAAACAAAACCAAAAAAAACTACCTTCGAAGAAAGTTTGTTTTTTCCTTCTTCCACCTCCTGTGTTCTCCTTTGCCTTATTTTAATATTCCCTCTCTCCATTTGCCCTGTCATCATGCAAACACTTTTCCACTTCTTTCTCCATCTCCTGCCCAACTGCAAGATAATAGCTTCTTTGGCTAACAGATTTGGATATATCTATCACATTCATGTGTGTATGCTCACATATTTATAAACACTGGTGAGTGTGTAGTCCCTCCAGAAATGCTACTCCCCTGCTACTCCCGGGGTGGGGAGAAGCTGACCACGGGCCATTTCCCAGACAGTGCTGAGTGCTCTGGGACTGTGAGGACAGACAGCTGGAGGGCTGGCTCCCCTCCCACCATACCCCTAGAACTAGACTCAGCATTGGGTTGTAACCTCTGTGCTCAGAAGACAAAATGTGATGAAATGTCAAGTGGGGTTTAGAAATACTAATGCCATGCTTGTTGAGGTGCTGTTTTCCCTGGAGCCCATGATCAAAGGAAGGGTGGGGAGGGCAGCAGGGAAGGTGGAGAGGACAGAGGCTGGCCATCACAGGTGGAAGGAGAAGCAGAGGGAGAGGTACAGGAGAGGAGGCAAAAGGGGCGTTCTCCAACAAAACCACTAAGGGAAAAAGAAGCTGTTAAGAGAAACTGATTTCCAAAGGAGTAATGATTTAATTCAGGAAGCCCTAAAAGGGTCAATTAGGGAAAATGCCAGAGATTAATTCCAGAACATTTCTTCAGGACCAATGAGAAGAGTAAGGGAGCCTTGCTAAAGAGACGATGAGTAAACCCGGAGAAGCCCACAGTACCTGGCAGTTTCCCGTGGCCTCTGAGAGGGCAGTTTAATCCTGAAACCTAAAGGTTTATCCTAATGTCCAGCCTGAAAAGGCTGATCACTGTGGGAGAATAAATTCATAAACAACTCATCTGAGAAGGGGTTAACATCCAAAATATATAAAGAAATTACAAGCCTCAACACCCCAAAAACAAATGACCCGATCAAAAAATGGGCAGAAGACCTGAACACACACCTCTCCAGAGAAGAAATACAGATGGCCAACAGGCACATGAAAAGATGCTCCACATCGCTAATCATCAGGGAAATGCAAATTAAAACCACAATCATACCAACTCACACCAGTTAGGATAGCTAACATCCCAAACACAAGAAACAACAAATGCTGGCAAGGATGCGGAGAAATAGGACCCCTCCTACACTGTTGGTGGGACTGCAAACTGCACTTTGAAAGTTTGCTGGAACCTTCTTTTAACATGGAAATTCCATGTTCTTGTCATGTTTTTTCTTCTTTTTTTTAATTAAGGTATCATTGATATACACTCTTTTAAAGGTTTCACATTAAAAACATTGTAGTTACTACATTCACCCATATTATCAAGTCCCCTCCACACCCCATCACAGTCACTGTCCATCAGTGTAGTAAGATGCCAGAGTCACTGTTGTGCCCTGTTGCCTTGAGTCCCCCATGTGGAGCCGCAGTCACCAGGCTCAGTCGTGAGATGCAAGAGCAAAACAGGTCTTTATTGCTAGTTCGAACTAGGGTCTCAGTGGCCCGTCAGAACACAGGACTTGGTCTGAGACCCTGAGCAAAGTTCCCTTTTTGCTTTTATACTTTTGGAACAGTTAGGGGCTTTCCAAGGGGGTGGTTTATTGTGACCCTAGCTGATTGGCTGAGGAGGGTCTGAAGTTTTCCTAGAAAACAAACATGGTTTCAGGAAATATTTATTACATATTCTGTTCTTTAGTAATAATAACTGCTACTTATTGAACACAAACCGTGTGCTGTGCATTTCACACTTACTGGCTCATTGATTCCTCTCAATAATCCCGGGAGGTAGGGTGATATGTTTGGATCCCATACGAATTCTTATCAAAGGCCTCGACTTCACAAAGGCCTTTCATCAGGTGGGAGAGATGAGCAGCTCTGTGGATAGATGGGAGCTTCTTTCTCCATCACCCCAGGGCATGTTCATTGGGCTCAGGAGCAAATGATCCTGAGGGCAAAATGGAGATCAAGTCAGACTCAAGAACATGAACCTCCTCTGACCAAGGATGACCTGCCCCCAGCACCGCCGTGAGTCTAGTTCACAGGATACTGACTCCCTGATATGGTTCTCTTCACTGGGAGACCAGCCAGCTCCCTGGTGACAGCGTTATTATTTGGAACCCTTCCGTCATCAAAAGGGTGCCTCTGTTTTCCTTGTTGGGATAGATGCCTACCCTGGGATTTGTATTTGCTTTCCTTGATTCTGCTAACATGAAAACTGTGAAGTTAACGAGTGCCTTAAACATCCCCAAGTTGTCCACAAACATTGTTTTACAGTGAAAGAAACAGCAGCACACTGCTGTCAACATTAAGTTTCAAGAGTGTTATGTACCGTGTCACCTGGAAGTCTCAGAACATGGTGTGACGCAGACTACCCAAGACAGAGCACTTTGAGTGACTGGTGTGAGACACTGCAGGAGGTGCTCTGAACCTGTGGCCGACACACAGTTTGGTCCCTCTCGCTGCCAAAGTGTGTAGAGCTCGGAACCACGAGATGGAAGTGGGAAAAATTATAGCCTGTGACCCATTCACAATTTTCTTTGCTTCCTATTCCCATGAACCTGTTCTTTGCTGGTTTAGAGGTTTAGTGCCCATAGGAGGAGAACTTCCTCTAGAAGATAACAGTGAAACGGAAGCCGATACAGCTGCCTGGTATTTTGCCTCCTCGTGTCATCAGACAAATGGGAAGAAGGGGCAGCTGGCATGTTGGCTGGGTGACTGACCCTTTCTTCCTTCATGGGAAGCAATGTAGATACAGAGGAGTGTACGCACTTGAATCTCTGGAAATTCCTTGCAGGAAGAGGAACCCAGCTTCCCTCCTGTAAGTGTAAGTATGGGAAAAGGACTGCATGTGGACTTGGGCTATAAGAAGGCTAAGTTACAGAGGGTTTGGGTCACCGCTTTTCTTGCCCACTCCCAAGCCTCTGCCCTGCTGTGAGTGCTTCCCAGTGAGAGAGTCCTGGAGGGAGGGAGGATCCTGTCTCCCACTATGGAAGGCCGCACCAGCGCTCCCTCTTCCCACAGGGGACATAATCTGGTTTAGCCTAGATCTTTGAATGGGGTAGGGGCACAGGGACGCAGAGCTGGTTCACAGAAATGGAGGCAAGTGTACTCCATAGGCAGTGCCTACATTTATCAGCCAGACAGGTCCTGAGGCGGGTCCTGCTCTGTGTCCTCAGGTCCACGGCTGGTCCACAGACAGACTTGGGTTCTGCCCATTTCCCAAGCTTGGCTCTCCAGTTTTCTTGGAGGTCACCTTCTGGCCACTTCTCTCTGTGCTTGCGTTATCTGTAGCTAGTTCTATTGTTTTTAGCTCACAGCTCTGATGGACCGAGAGGGGAAGCAAACCCAAATAGGAACCCACCTTTTGTACTGTGATTCAGGCCCCAGGTTCTTTTTCCTTCCCTCCTAAGCACCTCCTAGATATTTTCTGACTTCAGTTTTGTACTGATAGGTGCCAGAATAAATCCTGTAAAAATAAGAGCAGGGAAGAAGCAAACTTTAAGACATGATAAGGAAAGATGATAAGCATCTTTTAAGATAAAGACAAAAAACATGAGAAGGACATGATAAACATCAGAAGGAGCAGTCTAAGGAGATGGTCTTGGGATGCTGGCCCACCACCTTCACGGGCTGCCAGCTTCCTGAGTCAAGCAGCCTTTCCTTTTCACCAACACTTGTCTCTCAGGTTTTGGCCTTGCAAGCAGCAAGCAGCCAAACTTGGGTTTGGAACTGGGTCATGGCCCAGTAATACTAGTCCATCTTAGCCAGAAGAGGGACATAACAATAATTAAGTTTTTTGAAAAATCAGAGTAAATGGTAGAAGTCTAGAAACCACAGTCAAATACAAATAGGCCACCTACTTACATCCTAGATATGAGATATGTAGGGTGTGAGAGAAAGAATTTCACTTGGGAGGACTTTAGTGCTAAGCTGGGTTCCACTGCATGCAAGGAATTTCCAAAGACTCAGGTTTTGCCTGGAATGCCAAAGAAAGAGTGAAGGAGAGGAGAGGCTAGGCAGATAGCATTGTATTAGATTAATTTCTAAAGATGCTCAAATTCCAGGTGGGGATAACCACTGGCCTTATATTTTAGGAAGAAACTGAAGTAGAAAGAGCATGAGTGATGCTGGGACTTATTTTCATCACCTATTTAAAAAGGACATAATCTCAAATATACCCTTAAATAAGCATATCAGTAAATGTAGAGTAACCATTCTCTTCTCTCTCAAATTAAGAGAACTCTTAGTTTAGGCTCGGCCAGTGAGTGCATCTGGTTGACTACAATTCCCAGTCTTCTTTGAGATTAGGTGCCACCATATGCCAAATTCTGACCAATGTAACAGAATTATAGACACCACACAAAAAATCAGAATGCATCTTGCAGGAAATGCTAAACACAAATGAATTTGGTTGACATACACCAGTGTGCATTCCAGAACATAAAAAACTAATAAGCTAGTTGATTTGACTAAGGTGCCCATCTTGTTCTCCTAGCCCATTCAAGGATATGGTCAGAAATCAGATTAGGATTCCTTAGAACCATGGCCATAATGAGCTATTGACTAATGGGATTATGCTCTTGAGGTACATTAGAGAAGGTACACATTTTGAAATTCATTCTTACAAATTTCATTCATAGACAAAAGCACAAATCTAGAAAATAAGATTCAATAATTCATTAAATAAGCTACAAGGGACAAGTGAAATTTATTTAGCAATATGAAGATAATTTATATTGGAAAATAAAGTCAATTTAGACTGATAAATAAATTTTTTAAAGCTGATAAAAAAAAGAAACAATCTAACACGTCTAATTATACCCTGCACTAAAACTGAGCTGTCTAAAATACCCCAAGACAATAGCAGAAACAGCAGAGAGAAAAGCAAGATCTTACAGGCTAAGAACTGAGTTTATTTTACCTTAGCGGAAAATAGAGCCAGACTTTAGTTTCCAGTTCCACGTGGAAGGAGCCTGGGAATTGGCACTTGTCTTAACAAGTAAAGAGGTGAACAGACTGAAAAATCAACAATTCTTCTTGCATCTGTAACAAAGGGGAGGACACAGGGCAAACCTCTGACCCCAAGATTTGAGAGCCAGATGGGAGAACATGGGAGTCACAGCTTCCCAGAGGAGAGACTGAGAGCAGAAACCACCATGGGGACCAGCTCCTGGGTGGGAAAACCTCAACTGTAATTGATCAATTGCTGGAGGTGTTGTGTGGACCAGGCTGAGGCCCAGTCATACGGGATCCCCAATGATAGGATGAGATTTACCTGCAGGAGTTCAATTAGCTGCTCACAATAAATACCAGAGAAAAGTCCCCTTGCGCTGCTGGCACCGTGAGGGAAAAGGGACCCTTCTGAAATGGCTAGAGCACTCTGTTCTTAAGAAGGCCTGCCTCCCAGGGAAGCTTGTTAACCAGAGCCTAATCGACCTCAGGGTAGGGAATTCCTCCACCCCAGCCCTCTAGCCACCCTGTCCCTCCTGGGGGAGGAGAACCCTGAGAAGCTCTGGCAACGCTCACAGTGCAGAGGCTCAGGCTCAGTGAAGGCTGACCTGACTGGGTCACAGGACTAGGACCGCTTCCCTTGCCCCCGCACAGCCACACCTCACCCACATCCCTAACAGCCTATGCATAGCAGTGCCTTCTGCCCAGTAAGTACATCATGTCCAGTATCAAGAAAAACAGGACAAGACTCACCATAAGGCAAAAACACAGTCTGGAGAGATGGAGCAAGCATCAGAAGCAGACATGGCAGGGACGTTGGCATGACCAGACCAGGAAATTAAAACAACTGTGAATAACATGCTAAGACTCTAATGCGGCAAGCAGATGCGCACAAGATCAGGTAATGTAAGCAGAGACGGAGACCTGAGAAAGAGCCAGGAGGACATGCCGGAGACGAAATAGGGCAGTGGGAACGGAGAGCGCCTTCAAAGGGCTTGTTCATAGACTAGACACAGCTGAGAGAGCCTCTGAGAGGGAGAATGTCTTGGCAGAATCCCTGAAAACCAAAAAGAAAACAGAGGCCGAAGATGATGGCAGATTTCCAAGGACTGTGGAACAACAAGAAATGTAATAGACCCATAATGGGAACACCAGAGGGGAAGCAGGAGAGAAAGGAATGGGGACAAATACCTGAAACAGTAGTGGCTGAAAGCTCCCCCGAGTTACTGTCGGACACCAAATCACAGACGCAGGAAACCCAGGGAACACCAAGCACGATGAATGCCAAAAACACTAGACTCAGGTATATGATTTTCAAGTCACAGAAAATCAAAGATAACAAAAAAATCCTGAACGAGGCCAGAGGAAAAAAATATCTTATGGAGGAACGAAGATAAGAATTCTGACTTCTTAGAAGCCACATAGGCAAGAGAGGAGTGAAATATTTAAATGTTGAGGGAAAAAGCTGCTGACCTAGAATTCTGAACTCAGAGAAACGGGACCGAATTTTTGTTTAAAAAACAAAACCAAAAAAAACTACCTTCGAAGAAAGTTTGTTTTTTCCTTCTTCCACCTCCTGTGTTCTCCTTTGCCTTATTTTAATATTCCCTCTCTCCATTTGCCCTGTCATCATGCAAACACTTTTCCACTTCTTTCTCCATCTCCTGCCCAACTGCAAGATAATAGCTTCTTTGGCTAACAGATTTGGATATATCTATCACATTCATGTGTGTATGCTCACATATTTATAAACACTGGTGAGTGTGTAGTCCCTCCAGAAATGCTACTCCCCTGCTACTCCCGGGGTGGGGAGAAGCTGACCACGGGCCATTTCCCAGACAGTGCTGAGTGCTCTGGGACTGTGAGGACAGACAGCTGGAGGGCTGGCTCCCCTCCCACCATACCCCTAGAACTAGACTCAGCATTGGGTTGTAACCTCTGTGCTCAGAAGACAAAATGTGATGAAATGTCAAGTGGGGTTTAGAAATACTAATGCCATGCTTGTTGAGGTGCTGTTTTCCCTGGAGCCCATGATCAAAGGAAGGGTGGGGAGGGCAGCAGGGAAGGTGGAGAGGACAGAGGCTGGCCATCACAGGTGGAAGGAGAAGCAGAGGGAGAGGTACAGGAGAGGAGGCAAAAGGGGCGTTCTCCAACAAAACCACTAAGGGAAAAAGAAGCTGTTAAGAGAAACTGATTTCCAAAGGAGTAATGATTTAATTCAGGAAGCCCTAAAAGGGTCAATTAGGGAAAATGCCAGAGATTAATTCCAGAACATTTCTTCAGGACCAATGAGAAGAGTAAGGGAGCCTTGCTAAAGAGACGATGAGTAAACCCGGAGAAGCCCACAGTACCTGGCAGTTTCCCGTGGCCTCTGAGAGGGCAGTTTAATCCTGAAACCTAAAGGTTTATCCTAATGTCCAGCCTGAAAAGGCTGATCACTGTGGGAGAATAAATTCATAAACAACTCATCTGAGAAGGGGTTAACATCCAAAATATATAAAGAAATTACAAGCCTCAACACCCCAAAAACAAATGACCCGATCAAAAAATGGGCAGAAGACCTGAACACACACCTCTCCAGAGAAGAAATACAGATGGCCAACAGGCACATGAAAAGATGCTCCACATCGCTAATCATCAGGGAAATGCAAATTAAAACCACAATCATACCAACTCACACCAGTTAGGATAGCTAACATCCCAAACACAAGAAACAACAAATGCTGGCAAGGATGCGGAGAAATAGGACCCCTCCTACACTGTTGGTGGGACTGCAAACTGCACTTTGAAAGTTTGCTGGAACCTTCTTTTAACATGGAAATTCCATGTTCTTGTCATGTTTTTTCTTCTTTTTTTTAATTAAGGTATCATTGATATACACTCTTTTAAAGGTTTCACATTAAAAACATTGTAGTTACTACATTCACCCATATTATCAAGTCCCCTCCACACCCCATCACAGTCACTGTCCATCAGTGTAGTAAGATGCCAGAGTCACTGTTGTGCCCTGTTGCCTTGAGTCCCCCATGTGGAGCCGCAGTCACCAGGCTCAGTCGTGAGATGCAAGAGCAAAACAGGTCTTTATTGCTAGTTCGAACTAGGGTCTCAGTGGCCCGTCAGAACACAGGACTTGGTCTGAGACCCTGAGCAAAGTTCCCTTTTTGCTTTTATACTTTTGGAACAGTTAGGGGCTTTCCAAGGGGGTGGTTTATTGTGACCCTAGCTGATTGGCTGAGGAGGGTCAGGGTCTTGTTGCACAGGTTGCTGGGTATTGTTTCTGCGGGAATGGGCATGGCTTGAGCAGGAAACTTCTTACTCAAGATGGAGGACACAGAACAAAATGGAGGTAGGGGTCATGTAGGGGACATAGTTATTCAAGATGGAAGACACAAAATGGAGGCTGGGGTCCCACATTCCCCCCTTTTCTTTTGTGCCTGAGTGGGCATTCTTGTCCCACTATGGGTCTGCATTCAGTAGGTGACATTAGTGGCAATACAGCTTCAGCTTAAGGGGGTTCTGCGGGTGCACTTTCACTGTCCACTGTTCCCCAACAGGTGTGGATGTCTTCTCTGGGTTGGCTCGCCGGATGAGCGAGTAATAGATCCACGGCCCAATGCCATCTACCTTAAGGGCTGTGGGGGTAGTAAGGATTACAACATAAGGCCCTTTCCACCTAGGTTCTAAAGTTTTGGAACAGTGACATTTCACCCACACTTTTTCCCCTGGTTCAATGTCATGTTGTGCTTCCTGGTGGGTGGGGCTCCCCCCAATAGCTCGTAAGAGGGGCCACACCTCTCTGTGTACTTCTTGCAGCCTCTTTAAGGCCTCCTGAAGGGCCGGGGGGGCGGTCCCAGGGATTCAGGAGTTGGGGCTGAGCAGGGTAAGATAGGAGGGGGGACCCCAAACATGATCTCAAAAGGGGTCGATCCTAACCAATAAGGCATGTTCCGAGCCTGGAACAGGGCAAAGGGAAGGAGGGTCACCCAATCTCTGCCAGTCTCTACTGCCAATTTAGTGAGGGTCTCCTTTAAGGTTCGATACATCCTCTCTACCTGTCCTGAACTCTGGGGGTTGTATACTCACAATGCAATTTCCAATCTACCCCCATGTGGGCAGCCACCCTCTGTATAGCCTCTGCGGAGAACGCTGGTCCATTGTCTGATCCTATAGTTGAGGGCAAGCCATACCTAGGCATGATCTCTTCTAGTAATTTCTTACCCGCTACTAGTGCTGTTTCTCTTTTGGTGGGGAATGCCTCCACCCACCTGGAAAAGGTATCTACTAAGACTAGCAGGTAACGGTACCCATATTGGCCAGGTCTCACCTCGGTGAAGTCCACTTCCCAATGTTGCCCTGGTGCCTGGCCCCAAAGGTGAAGTCCTGTGTGTGTCCCTTTAACTCGGTCCAGTTGCATTACCTGGCATGCAGTACATGATCTCAAGAGAGCCTGTATGTGGGCCTTGGCCCCCAGAATCCGGATCTTGGCTTTTTCTAAGAGCACTCGAGTCTTCTTCTCACCCAGGTGGGTAGAGGAGTGCAAATTAGTTAGTATCTGGTTCCCCAAGGTCTCAGGTAATATTAGCCATCCATCTTGGTCTCAGTACCATCCGGAGTCCATTTTCTGTATCCTGGGCTGTCTCTCGACCCACTGCGTGTCTGAGGAGGAGTACTCTGGGGTGAGGGGAAGGGTCCCCATACCTGGTGGGGGTATTTGATGCAACTGTAGCCCAAAGACTTGAGATGTCGTGGCTTGTAAGGCAGCCTCATCAGCCCTGCGGTTGCCTAAGGCCTCTGGGCTGTCTCCCTTTTGGTGTCCCGGGATGTGGACTACCACTACCACCCGGGGTTCATGTACAGCAGCCAGCAGGACCTCAACTTAACTTCTCAGTGAATAGTCCACGGATAGCACTTAGTGCCCGTGGCCCACTGTACCCAGCTCTTTTGGGAGGAAATGGGTCCGGCACTCCGAGTTATGACAGAGTGTTGAGCCCCGGTGTCCACCATATAGTGCATTGGTTCCCCCTCAATCTGTAGTTACCCAAGACTCAGGGAGGGGGCTCGAGTCCCGAAACCCCCTCAGTCACTGTCTTCTCCTGCATACATCACCCGATGTCTAGGGGCCTCATCGGGTTTTTGCCCTTCTCACGGGGTGTAAGGACGATGCTGGCAGGGGCACTCATTCTTCCAATGCCCCATTTCTTTGCAGTAGGCACACTGGGTGGGTCCTAGTTTTCTGTGGAAAGGCCCCACTTTTTCTCTATTTCAAAATAAGCTGCCATTTCCTGGGCAGGTGCAGGAGTGAACCCCTCTTCCTTTCTCCAGTCTCTCTCTCTTTAAGGGGCCCGAGGAGCCTCAGGGCGGACGGCCGTCCTGGGCCCCCAAGTGGAAGATGCAGGCTAGTTCCTTTTGATTTTTTCGGTTTTCTTCTGCCCTAACTTTCCTCTCTTCCATCTGGATCCTGCCCTCTCTTTCTTCAGGGGTTTCTCAGTTGTTGTAGACCCGCTCTGCTATTCAGAGTAGGTCTTGTATAGTCTGCTCCCCGAGTCTATCTATCTTCTGTAGTTTTCTCCTGATATCAGGGGCGGCCTGGTTAACAAAAGCTAAGACTAAGGCGGCCCTTGTCTCATCTGCTGAAGGGCATAGGGGAGTGTATTGTCTAAATGCTTCCATTCTCCTTTCATGGAAAGTGGCTGGGCTCTCGTGGGGCTCCTGTCTAATGGAATTTACCTTGGCCAAATTAGTGGGCTTCCTGGCAGCCACCCGGAGACCAGCCATCAGAGTCTGGCAGTAGATTCGGAGACACTCCCTACCTTCTGTTGTTTTGAAATAAATACCAGCCAGGGTGCGTTAAGGGAAATCCTTCATCGATGAGGTAAGGCTGTATGGTGGGTCAGCCATTGATGCCTGGCACCAGTTTGCGAGCCTCTGTCAAGATCCTCTCCCTTTCCTCTGTGGTGAAAAATACCTGGAGGAGCTGCTGGCAGTCCTCCCAAGTAGGACTATGGGTAAAGAGGATAGATTCTACCAGGTCAATAAGACCCTGGGGTTTCTTGGAAAAAAAAAGGAGCATTTTGTGTTTTCCAATTATAGAGATCACTAGAGGAGAAAGGCCAGTATTGATAATTATCAATACAAAGGCCAGTATTGATAATACCCATCGGGCCTCCGGAGCCCGATTGCTCGGACTAGAAGGGCTTGGACATTGGAGTCATCTGAATCCATGTCCGTGGAGGCAGAGGATTTGCTAGTCTGGTGTCTACCCCTGGTGCCAAAAGCTGGCCCCGCTGGTAGCCGTCCCTGGGTGGGGCGGGCCCGATTGGGCTTAGGATCCTCCGGAGGCTGACTGCCGGCCTGCGGATATTGGGGAGGGAGAGGAGGTAACGCTGGTGCAGTGGGTTGGACCGCTTTGGCCTCCAAATCAAGAGCACTAGGATAGGGGGCTGACTCTGAGAGGACCTTGGAGCCTGCCAGCTTCTTGTCATCCCAGGTGGTTGCTATCATGGCTTGGACTGCTAGGGGTGGTGGCCTCGGGGGGATAGGTGCCATGGAAGTGGGTGGAAAGAGAAAAGGTTTTAGCCAGCGAGGGGGGGTTCTTAACAAGGTACTGCCAGGTGAGTATGTAGGGGGCCTGGTCAGGGTGGCCTCCGGGCCCTGGGTCCATGACTCTGTCTCGAACAGCCTGAATCACAGAGAGGGCAAAAGATCCCTCTCGGGGCCATCCCACACCAGAGGCAGGCCATTCTGTGGAACAAAAGGTTATGAGTTTGCTCTTCCAGACTTCCAAACTAAGATTACGAGCCTCGGTTCTGAAATCAGAAAAATGGTCAGTCATGAGGGTCAGTGGCGAAGATTGCCCTTGCCCCATAGTTGGATGATGTCTGTGAGAGTAAGAGTGATAGAGGGAATAAGTCAGAACTGGCCAGACAACAATGACAACACAAAACAGGACAATATGACTAACAAAAGTAAATAATGACAACACAAATCAGGACAATAAGACTAACAAAACCAACCAAAAAAACAAATTCTCCCAGAAGTCTGACAGAAATATCTTTCAGTTAGTCTTCTCTCTAGAGAAGACTGACCCCAGAGACCCATGAACCGTTCGCTACGGTCCTGAGCCTGCAACAGCCTCCCAGCGCGTCTGCCAGCCCCGGTCTTACGTTGCCCTGTACCAGACGGAGGCAGATCCTGCTAGGACTTCAGCCCCCTCTATTCCAGCTGGCCTGCAGCTGGCGTGACTAGTCACTTCCAGATTCAATAAAGACCTTACCCAGTGGCTGGGGTTGCTGCTCCTCACGGGGATCCCGGACAAGCCCCCAAATGTTGTGCCCTGTTGCCTTGAGTCCCCCATGCGGAGCCGCAGTCACCAGGCTCAGTTGTGAGATGCAAGAGCAAAACAGGTCTTTATTGCTAGTTCGAACTAGGGTCTCAGTGGCCCATCAGAACACAGGACTTGGTCTGAGACCCTGAACAAAGTTCCCTTTTTGCTTTTATACTTTTGGAACAGTTAGGGGCTTTCCAAGGGGGTGGTTTATTGTGACCCTAGTTGATTGGCTGAGGAGGGTCAGGGTCTTGTTGCACAGGTTGCTGGGCATGGTTTCCGTGGGAATGGGCGTGGCTTGAGCGGGAAACTTCTTACTCCAAGATAGAGGACACAGAACAAAATGGAGGTAGGGGTCATGTAGGGGACATAGTTATTCAAGATGGAAGACACAAAATGGAGGCAGGGGTCCCGCAGTTACTACCTGTCTTCTCTATGCTACACTGTCTTCCCCATTACCTTCACACACACCATGTGTACCAATCATAATACCCTTCTCCCTCAATCCCCTTCTCCCTCCCTCCCCACTCGCCCTCCCCCACCCCTCCCCCTTGGTAACCACTAGTCCCTTCTTAGAGTCTGTGAATCTGCTGCTGTTTTGTTCCTTCAGTTTTACTTCGTTGTTATACTCCACAAATGAGGAAAATCATTTGGTACTTGTCTTTCTCCACCTGCCTTATTTCACTGAGCATAATACCCTCTAGCTCCATCCATGTTGTTGCAAATGGTAGGATTTGTTTTCTTCTTATGGCTGAATAGTATTTCATTGTGTATATGTACCACATCTTCTTTATCCATTCATCTACTGATGGGCACTTAGGTTGTTTCATATCTTGTCTATTGTAAATAGTGCTGCGATAAACATAGGGGTGCATATGTCTTCTTGAATCGAGGATCTTGTTTTCTTTGGGTAAATTCCTAAGAGTGGAGTTCCTGGGTCAAATCGTCATGTATTTCTTAATTAGTTTCCTAAGTCATGTGGGCTTAAATCTGTCCCACCCCATGTCTGTAAGTGTTTCTCCACCATTCAGCAAAGAGTGTACTTGTAATTTTATCCACACCAGAATCTTCAGGGGCTTCCTGTGTTTCTTTTTACAGCATTTTACAAATGTGGTGTCTCAGGTATTTCTTACCACAACCCTGGGGGGTAGTTACTATGGTTCCAGTTCTACAGGTGAGAAAACCAAGGTTTCTAGAGGGAGTCAGTTACCCAAAGACACACAGCTAATAAGCTGGTTGAGCTCGGGCCTAAGAGGAGGCCTGAGATCTCCAAATCCATGGAATTAAAGTGCTAAGCACCTGGGTGTGTAGGAGGGTGGGGGCGGGGGAGGAAAGAAGAGTATTTGCTTTGCTTCAGGGGTGTTCTTGCTACATCCCATTTCAGAGCTGATAACCTAGAGCAAGGATAGAGATGGGAAGAAATAGGATGCTGTTCTAGAGAATGCTCTTCAGAAAAACCTCAAATATATTTGTATTTGTTTTAGTTATTCAAAAATGGCATAATCCATGTTTTAAATTATTATTTCCCCAAAAGACATTTTAAATCTTGTTCAATAATAATGGCTAATGTCCATCAGTAGATGAATGGATAAAGAAGATGTGGTACATATACACAATGGAATATTACTCAGCTATACGAAAAAAACAGATCCTACCATTTGCAACAACATGGATGGAGCTAGAGGGTACTATGCTCAGTGAAATAAGCCAGGTGGAGAAAGACAAGTACCAAATGATTTCACTCATATGTGGAGTATAAGAACAAAAGAAAACTGAAGGAACAAAACAGCAGCAGAAGCACAGAACCCAAGAATGGACAAACAGTTACCAAAGGGAAAGGGACTGGGAAGGACGGGTGGGAAGGGAAGGATAAGGGTGGGAAAAAAGAAAGGGGGCATAGTGATCAGCATGTATAGTGGGAGGGGGGGCACAGGGAGGGCTGTGCAACACACAGAAGACAAGTAGTGATTTTATAGCATCTTACTATGTTGTTGGACAGTGACTGTGAATGTGTATGTGGGGGGAACTTGGTGAAGGGGGAGCCTAGTAAACATAATGTCATTCATGTAATTGTAGATTAATGATACCAAAATAAAATTTTAAAAAAAAGAGCAAACCAAAAATAATAATAATAATAATAATGGCCAAATCTTTTTTGATAAAAGTCCCTGGTTTAATTGATTTATTTTCTAAAACAAAATAAAATAATACATCTAGTTGTCAGTTCAGAAAAACAATAGCAATCACACATGTCTTCTAAAACTATTAAAGTAGAATATTCAATATTCTCTGACTGGCATTTTCAAATAGAAAATAAATGTGTTGAGGTCAGGGAAGTGGTTTCTATCTTTAAGCACCTTACCAACATTGATTTACCTGTTTTACTCCAGTGGATTCCTCTGGTTTGTACTTCTATAACAAGGCAAACGCGAGCAATGTCAAGGTCTTGGAATTACAAAAGCTGCTGCAGTCCATTTTGCTCTTTGTATTTTTCTAAATAAATAAATAAATAAAGGATACATCTACCAATAAATGCTGGAATTCAAATCACCATCAAACAACACTTTTCACAGCAATGTTGGCATGGAGGATGGATTTCAGGTCAGTTACACACCAACTTTAAGAAAGTAGTTTTTGTGTGTTCTGTGTTTGTTTGCTGGGGTATTCAAATAAACTTTATTTTGGGAGATGGCGGCCAGACAGAGAGGTTGCTGAAATTCTCACTTGCTAGTGAGATAAACATCAATTATTGTCACCCCAGTCATCTAGCTGGTGTGACAGATTTGTGAAGGGGGGACTTCACTGGTCTTTAAACAAAGTGAACGGTGTGTCAAGGGCATTTTAATTGGCTGTCTGCATTGTGTGGACTCATTAGATAATTGCCAACCCTCTCCCTCACTGTGCATCATCACACAGGCCTGGCCGCAGGAGCTGAGCTAGGACGGGATGGCTAGGAGGAGAGGCTGTAGGACCAGAGGCCATGCGGGTGGGGGAGGGCGCACAACCTGGGGTGGAGAGATGGGGCAGAAAGCTGACTGGGTAAGAGAAAGGCAGCACAGTGAGGCCAGAGTGGTTCAGACTAGACGGGTCCTGGGAACTGCATCAGAATCAGGGTTCAGAGAAGACAATGAAGGCGTGTAAACGGGCCCGAGATCAGGCCAGACAGCACAAGCTCGCACAGCAGCAGAGAGTCACGGAGAGCAGCCTGCAGGGGAGGTCAGAGTGACTCAGGCCTAGCCAGCTATTTGTCCAGAGGCTCCTGAGAAAATGGGGAGCTGGGTTGGGGTACAGAGGGCCAAGGTTCAAAGAGGGGCTCACACAAGCCAGCATGGCAAGCCTGGCCCATCAGAAACAGAAGGCAGGGTTTCAGACAGAATAGAAAGAAATGACTGGTCACCACATTACATGAGAATCAGGAAAGTCACAGCTGACATCTGGGGAGGGGACGCTGGGCAAGGATGCTAAGGTGGTTGAAGTGTGAGCTTGCCCAGTCCTGGGGCAAACTGGGCCCTGATCCCAAAGACAGGATTTACATAAGGGAAAACCAAAACAGCATTATCAACACTGGATTCCTCATCTTGCTCTGTTGAAGCAGGTTTTCTAGAAAATAAACATACTGAAATCCAACCCACCTTGTAAAGAAGTCACCCACTCTGCAATAGCAAGGGGGGTGGAAGGCAAATATCCATCATAAGAAAATAAGCAAGTCACGGTGCCCAGAATGAGTCATGCCACGAAGCAGCTAAAAATGAGAGTTAAGCACACGTATTGGAAGGTAGCTCATAGAATGAGTGTGTTTCCACTGGATATGCATGTCTGAGAGGGACTGCCTGGCAAGTGTCCCCGCTGTGGACAGCGGGCCTGGGAGGGGGGGTGGTGTGGGGTGGGGGTGGCAGGTAGGGGGATGAAAGTACAGAGGGAGAGGAGACATCCTGACTGATTCTGAATTTTTGTGAAGAAAAGAAAGTCTCCAAAGGCATGATAAAGATGACATGGAGGAGGGACAGCAGAAACAGGAGTCTCCCTGATCTTTAAGATCATCCAGAAGGAGTGAACGGAGGCATCAGAAAGTGTCTGTGGGAATGAGAAGGGGACTATGGGCTGAGTGCCCCAGGCGGGACTGGCATCTACCCTGAGGAGCTCTGAGAGAAACTAGAGATGCCACGTTGCAACTGATAATAATAATGTGTTAGGTTTTGTCTGTGGATCTCAAAACACTTTGATGGCACCCCTGTCCTCTTATCCTTGGGAGGGAAGTAAGGGCCGCCGGTCGGGCGCACGAAAATCGCGGAGGTGGAGCTTCGAGTGGGAGCCCGGCCCTGGGGCCTGCTGCCTCACGACGGCCCCTGCTGTTGCTCATCCACTGACCCCCACGTTTATCATTACATCTGCACTTGGGTTTCCCCTCCCTCAGGCTGCATGTACGCTAGGCAGCCACCTCAGCCTCATGCAGCTTACCCTCCATCACCACCACCAGCACTCCCAGAATGGGTGGGTGGGGAGGGGTGTTGGGTCTTCACTGGGATCCCCATTATCCCAGCCTGGCATTTGGAAATCGGTGTAGGGTGGGAGTTGGCCAGGAAGGCACTGGGACCAATGCCTGCATTTCCTAAGCAGACTGGCAGGTGAGGGCTTGACCCCAAGCCAGGCGGCCCTGCAGCTTGTGTGACTCAGTCCCCTCTGACTGGCACTTGGCCACCAGGTGAGACAAGTGTCTGCCCACACCCAGGACTTCAGGCACTTTGCTGCCAGCCTGGTGGTTAGAAGAGACCCAGGGGCAGACCCAGCAGGGAGGGAGGGGCTCGGCAAACAGCATCCAACAGCCATGTGGCCTTGCCAGGCTCAGAGGAGCCAGGGAACAAATGAGGGGTGTTACCACGGAGGGTGAATCCCACCCCCACCCCCACCCCACAGAAGCAACACTCCAGAGATCCTTTCCCACGGCCAAGGGGAGTTTTCAGCTTTCCTGGCCCCCTTGGAGGAGGGAGTTGCAAACTGCCATTTGGGTGTGTGGTTCTGCCGGCCCCACTGTCGCTCCAACCCCACATGAAGGAGAAACAGTGGCAGCCAGCAGACGTTTGCCCCCAAGCTGCTCCTGAAGGGTGCCCAGGTGGTGCAGGGGGAGAGATTCTGGGTGTTCTGTTCTGTTTTCAGGGCC